CTGATCATTCAAAAATGGATCTAAATTATATAAACCACTGCTAATGTTTAAATTACATAATTTTGTCAGTAAATTACACAATTATGTGCGTGGGAGACATTTCTATTAGTTAGGGCTCTAATTCAGTAACCTTTGTCAACTCATAGAAAATGAACTTTCTAACTTTAGCAGGGACTAAACTAAATCTTCTTAGGTCTTGTGAAGCAACCAAAGTATTGTGTTCTAAGTTTTTCGACAGTGTATTAACTTGTCAAAATTCCTTTAATCCATGGTATAATCGATTATTCTAATGTAATTGATAATTTTAACAAATATTTTGATTTTGCTGATATTGTTCTATAACTCAAATTTAGAACGTGCTGAATTTACCTGAAGGTCTCCATCTCTAGTGGCCTCGACGGGTCCAGGAAGGCGACGGCTTCTTGAAGGTCCTTCATTATTCCAGTCATTTTTTCCAGATCAATTTTAGACTTTACCAATATCTTATTAACATGTTCGGCTCCGGCAGGTAGGTGGTTCCACGGGTTTATAACCCGATAGGTGAGAAAGCATCATCTGTATACTGTCTTACATACTGGCTCGTTGGCATGGTGGCATAGTGCACACTAGTTTCTTTATCAGCTACCTCACCCTGTCAGAGTAAATGAGACAAATGTATGTGAATGCATGTGTGTGTGTGTATATATATGTATGTATATATGTGTGTGTATATGTATATGTATGGGTATAAAGTATATATGGAAGCTGATCAGAATTACACTTCACCTTTGTGAATGTACATTAATGACACTATGTAAAAGACACATCTAACACTTTATGTAGGGCATACGTAAATCTGTGTATCTATGTATTTACGTATGTAGGTTAGCTTAGCATTTTAAAAGCACCGAATCACCTTCTGTGGTTGAGTGTTCAATAAACCCTTGAACTATATGTTTAACACTTCTCTAACCCTGTCCATGGCGGACAGAAGAAAATGTATATATGCTGGTTAGCATTGTAAATGTGTGGCCACGTCTGTGGTAGAAAATAATAATAATAATAATAATAATAATAATAATAATAATAATAATAATAATAATAAAAAGTGGTTCGTTGAACTGGAAGCTGTTGCCGCTTATTCTCGTGTTACAATGTACCTTCTACAGAAGTGGCCTGGATTAACTTATAACAATTTGTTGAGTATTTTAAATGTCTCAATGAGGTCAGTCCTGTCATGTCTGATTATCTGTTATCATTTTATTAATTCTGCTAGAATTTACCTACTTAAAATTATCTGTTAGATTACGGACCTGCCCGAAACGCTGCGCGTACTAGTGGCTTTACAAGATTGTAAATGCTATGCTATGTATTCTCTCTAACCCAATGTACCTTCTTGTATATAAATAAATAAATAAATAAATAAATAAATAAATAAATTTGAGTGTTTGCTAGTCGTGTGGCGCTCAACCGTGCTGGTATGAGAGCTGACTTAGTACTGGGATGATTTTTATAGCTGTGTGTTGATCTTTCTCCACAGCAGATATGTCATTTTAAATATAAGATAGCCATGCTTGGGTGCTGTAAATTCAGACGTGGGGGGGGGGGGAGGGGGGGAAGGCACAGCTATTGTTTGTTGTTGTTTCAGAGTTAGCTACTCAGAACGAAGTGTCCATGTAGCACGGGCTATGGCGAGCCCGTGAAAACACAGCTATTTAAACAGTTGAGTACCACTTTCTTTTCCTTGAACAATGGTGTGCAGGATGTATTGTTAATCTCCTAGATCCCCCTGGGAATAATGCAAGAGTTTTAAAGTGCTTCTACACAAATGTCAAAAGGCTATTCAATAAATTGTTACACATTGTTTTTATATACTGAGGTTGAGAATCACGACATCATTGGATAAGCGAAATTTGGAGAAGAGAAGACCAATCACTAATTTGCATATTTGTTGGTGTAAAAAGAAGTAATTTAAAGCTCCAAATATGTGCAATGAGCCAGAATTAAGTATGCTGTTCCGGCATGGAACTCCAACCTAAAGAAAGACAACACAAAAGTTGAAAAAGTCTAGTTTACCAAGTTTGCTAAAAAGTTTACCAGTCTCCGTGGTGTAGTGGTAAGACACTCGCCTGGCGTTCCGCGAGCGCTTTGTCATGGGTTCGTATCCTGGCCGGGCAGGATTTACTGGGCGCAAATCCTTAACTGTAGCCTCTGTTTAACTCAACAGTAAAATGTGTACTTGGTTGTAACAACGATTCTTCGCGGCGGGGATCGTATTCCAGGGACCTGCCCGAAACGCTACGCGTACTAGTGGCTGTACAAGAATGTAACAACTCTTGTATATATCTCAAAAAAAAAAGTCGAAAGATATACAACAAGGGTCGTTCCTGAGCTACGAAGAAAGACTGAGGGAACTAGACTTCGCTACACTGGAGGAAAGAAGGATCAGGGCAGACTTGATGATAAGGCTTAAAGCTAAGAGGGACTGACAAATATAGAAGCATCATTCATAATAAGGAACAGTGGAACGAGAGAACATAATTAGATACTGGAAACCCAGATAAGATGGAGAACTGTCAGAGAGAACCTTTTCAGTTTAAAAAGGGGTAAATGAGTGAAAGGGGCTAGATGAGGAAACTCACGAAGCCTTTTCCATTCTCAGCATTAAATGTAAATATGATAAGAAAAATTATTGAAATGAATCATTGCGTTGAACTTCTGATAGTCGACAAGTCGACAGGCGGGGCTTAAGAGCAGATGGTCGACCATGCGAACACAACTTGGCCGATACACTCACTGAAAAAAAAATCGGAGCACTGAGGTGCCTCAAACGAGCAATCAAGGTTTGAGTCTCGTACCTTACCCCATGGTACAGGGGTAAGGTGCGCGGCTGGGAGGTCCCTGATGGCTGACTCCTGTCACCTTATTGCTCAAGTTGATTACCTTATTAATATATATATCACGTTCGTGTGATTTAAGAACATAAGAACAAAGGTAACTGCAGAAGGCCTATTGGCCCATACGAGGCAGCTCCTATTTATAACGACCAAATCCTACTCATAAATGTCCAACCTACGCCTGAAACAATCGAGGAACCCCAAATTTGTACTCAAATTTGTTTGAGTACATTCGCAGTCGTACACACTATCGACCTGGTGAAGAGCTAAACCCATAAATTCACAAGAAAACCATAAGGGTAAAATAAGATGATGACAATTTGATGTCATCTTATGATGACAATCTCACACCACAAACTACAACAACATCCCTGGATGTGTATACACTCTGGAGCCCCCATTAGGCTGGTGGAGCCTCACTCGTCACTGGTGGCGATTGACACAAGCAGCAGGCCGCACCTCTCTACCCCCTTGATCAAATAAAAACATTGCTCACATCTGAACACTCATTTACGACCAACGATCACATTCATTAAAAAAAAATTACCACTTATGGGTTATTTGACCACAATCGGCTTGAGAATGGTCCAGGACGAACCGAAACGTCGTCGTCCCTTCACCTTCTAGTGTGTGGTCTGGTCAATATACTTTAGCCACGTTATTGTGACTCATCGCCTGCACTTACAGGCTATTCATCCCCGTGCCACCTCTTGGATGACTTAATCTTCATCAATCAATTAATCTGAACACTCATATACAGCCCCGCTCCTGTGCCAGGTAAGTCCACTACGGGCTCACCATAGCCCGGGCTACTGGCAACTCTTTGTTCCGAGTTGCTGCTGAGTCTGAAACAGCAACATGTGAACACTTGCTACATTTAAGCAGATGTGAGCGCTCGTCTCACCCCCTGCCCCAGGCCACCACGGCCGCACGCTGTGGGATCTCTCCTGAGCAGTAATCACCCACCTGCGACTGTCCCCTCCGCTTCCATAAACACCGGCAGTCCGTACCCACTACCTACACGGCAGTGGGTACGGACTGTTGATGAGACCACGGGGTAAACCTATTGTTCCGGCCCCCCCGGAGGGCATCCCCAGGTAACGGGTCGACGAGTGGCCGTGTGTACTCACCTAGTTGTACTCACCTAGTTGTGTTTGCGGGGGTTGAGCTCTGGCTCTTTGGTCCCGCCTCTCAACCGTCAATCAACAGGTGTACAGATTCCTGAGCCTATCGGGCTCTGTCATATCTACACTTGAAACTGTGTATGGAGTGAGCCTCCACCACATCACCCCCTAATGCATTCCATTTGTCAACCACTCTGACACACTCTGACAGTGTGGGAGCTGTAGGAGGATGGTGTGGTAAGCAGTGGTGGAAGTACCATGCCACCCCCACAGGTATCTCTCAGAATGTTTGGTAATATGTTTATTGTTTGTGATGTGTGTCTATGTATGTATTAACACGATGAACTGAACGGGGTGAGAATAGCTTGAGCTACCTCATCCCTTTGTGTGTATTTTACATCAATAAACTTATTTCAATTTCAATCCCCCACAGGTGTTTACACCTGCCTCCTCTTCCCTACCGGAACGTTACTCCTCGTCTTTCACCAGTTCCATTGTTTTGTCATAAAATCAAACATCTGTAGTATTTATGCTGGGAGTGAGCTTAGTATGACTGGACCTGCCCGGGCGGACACGTGTGTCCTGCTGCGTGATAGAGGCAACAGATGCGCGGCAAGACTTTGTGTTGATAACTCACAAGACCGTTCATTCATTGAGCATCCCCTGGAGATTAAGAACACCGCTCCAATAACTATTCCTTTACCCCTTAACTGTGTAGTAACCTCGTGACCGGAATATTGTGGCAGCGACCGATGGCTGGCGATACAAACCTGTTCCACAGCCAGGTGCCACCTACCTTTTACCCCTCACCGCTCCTCTCCCATCTCTCCCTCGTGTGGACGACACTCCTTGTATACTGTATTCCCCTTTGTGATACTGGAACTTGATTTGCGAATGTGTTGTGGGGTATAAAGCCTAACATGGCGTAGAACATGGTGCATAATATTTGAACCAGTGGGTTTGTGTGGCGGGTGGGGGAGGTCTGGCGGCACAGGTGAGATGCTCAGTGTGTGTGTGTTAGGTGAAGGGCTCGCACGTGTCCCTCGAGCTGCGTACTACTGCCTCAGTGCTCGCTCCTCCTCGCTTCTCATTCTTAAGAAAAAAGAGAGACTAGCTTTGCAGATATTTTAAATACAGTCTGAAAAGTGTCTTGTGTGTTTTTTGTAGTTGTGAGAGGTTGGCCGCGGGTGTTGAGAACTGGTGTTGCAGGTGTCGTGCCCCAACGTGACAGGGAGTAAACTTCGCGGTAATTCGCGTCCCTACACACTAACAACTAGTCATTGACATCTCTTACGATAATAGTAATACGCAAATAACAAAGAGGCTGGTAAGTAAATATTGCAAGCACGTGTCCGTGTGTAGTGGTGGTAGTAGTAGTAGTAGTAGGGGCCCAATATGAATGCCTTCATATGAATGAGCTCCATGGATGAGAATACATATGAATGTATTCATATGGATGAACTGGACGGGACGTAGTCAAACATTATGGGTCAGTATATAGAGCTTCCCGGGATCACCTCCTAGCCCTTGTTTCAGTAATTAGCCGTTTGCTAACGAGTTTTTCTTGTGTATTACATAACAAGTGGACACGTTGTACCGTGAGGCGTCGCGTCAAGGGTAACAGAGTACTAGCAGCCGCGGATGGTCAACTAGCCTAGTAATCTGATGATTGATTGATGAAGATTAAGCCACCCAAAAGGTGGCACGGGCATGAATACCCCGTAAGTGGTGGCTCTTTTGAGCCATTACCAGCATCAAAAGATGATACTGGAGATCTGTGGAGGCGCAACTGCACCCTGCGTGACGGGAGATGTCTCCCGGACCAAATGGTGACCAAATGGTCCCTAGTAATCTCCTTGAACATTTCCACCAGACGGACACAGCCGCCACGATGGTCGCCCACAACATGTGCCGTTTTGATATTTGTTTTTGTGAAGGTGTATATGAGCGTGTTTTTATATATACACAAGAATCCAACGGAGCAAACTGCATTGTCATAGTGCAAGGGCGAGAGGGAGGTGCTGAGGCTGTGGGTACTGTTGGGGGTATACCACAGACCACAGTTATATTTCATTTAAAATTGCTATTTGAAAATGCGTCGGGGGGTGGGGGTAGAAATAGCCTAAGCTGTTCTATCCCTTTGAGATGTATTTATTGCTTATCTCAATAAACATACTTGAACTTAAAAATGCAATCCTGTTTTTTTGTTTTTACAGAAAGTTGGATACAACAATACAGTAGAAGATTTTGACAAAATTGAACTAGAATATATACTGACAGTACTCTAACGAAGGAGTTGCAAACTTTGAGTATTTGATTGGCAGTTTGTGATTGATTCAGGTTACTTAGGAAGCAACATAATGCAGCTCGTTCCTCGATTTACCATGACGTTAAACAATGCAACTGATTTCAGACCGATGCGCATATAACGTTAATATTGCGGTGCTTTAATTATGTACTAATAAGTAGTCTCTAACCCCCCCCCCCCCTCTTTACGATGAGGTACACTGCATTACTGTTGTTTGGTTAGGATTAATTAAGTAGAAGTGACTGCATTCGCATGCAGGCGATGAGTCACAATAACGAGGCTAATGTATGTTGACCAGACCACACACTAGAAGGTGAAGGGACGATGACGTTTCGGTCCGTCCTGGACCAAGTCGATCACAATCGACTTGAGAATGGTCCAGGACGGACCGAAACGTCGTCGTCCCTTCACCTTCTAGTGTGTGGTCTGGTCAACATACATTAGCCACGTTATTGTGACTCCTCGCCTGCATATGGATACAGTTTGCTAATTTGGGGATGGGAGGGGTTAGGCAGGTAATTACAGAACATGGGGGTGATGTCACCGTGTGGCAGACTAACCTAAAGTTGGATTACATGGCATGATTGTTGTTCGTTTCGTGTATTTGTCAGGCGATACCGTATACTTCAAACATTTTTGTTAGATCTGTTTGTCGTTTGATTTCTAGAACGATTGACATGAAATTTACAACACGTGTGTGTTTAAGAGGTTGTTGTTGTTAATTTGACAGTCATGTTTAGGACCATTTGTCAAGTGTGCGTGCAATTAGATTTCTGCAATTTTCTAAATAAATATGTTTTAAGATCACTTTAAATTTAGTCTCTTAGGGCAAATGTCTTTTAACTGTCATGTAGAATAGAAAGTTAATTTTTTGTAACACAAAGATGTATGTAGTTAGGCTTATAAGGTAGTGTGTGTTAATTATATTGGAATCTGTTATGCAGAATTTTACTTAAAACGTTGTAGGCCTATGAATTTGATTGTGTAGTATCATATATCGTTAAGTTGGATTAGGGCGTGGCTATGACAAAGGAAACAGAGTTATTATAAATGGGGTTAAGTCAGAGTGGGAAAATGTTGTAAGTGGAGTGCCTCAAGGCTCTGTCCTGGGACCTCTGTTGTTTATAATATATATAAATGATTTAGATTCGGGTTTGAGTAGCAACATTTGCAAATTTGCCGATGATACAAAAATCGGTAGGGAAATTAACACGTAAGAAGACTCACTATCACTTCAAGTTGATCTAAATAGGGTTTTGAAATGGTCAAAAGATTGGCAGATGCGGTTTAATGCTGATAAATGTAAAGTTTTGAGGCTAAGTAATGATGATAGTTACAATATACGAGCTAGATGGTGAAGTCGGATTGCGAAAGGGATCTGGGAGTTATGATTAGTAAGAATTTAAAACCAAACGATCAATGCATGAATGTTCGTAATAAGGCAAATACGACACTTGGATTTATTAATCGCAGCGTTAGTAACAAGACACCTGGTGTTACTTGTTACTTCAGCTATATGTTGCTCTGGTTAGGCCCCATTTAGATTATACAGTTCAGTTTTGGTCGCCGTACTATAGAATAGATATAAATTCACTTGAATGTGTTCAGAGTAGGATGACAGTCAATTCCCCAAATTAGAAATCTTTCATATGAAGAAGGATTAACAAAGCTTAAATTGCATCACTGGAAAGGCGAAGAGTTAGGGGTGACATGATAGAGGTTTACAAGTGGATGAATGGACACAACAAAGGGAATATTAATGGAGTATTAAAAGTATATCGACACAAAACGGAACGCGAAACAATGAGTATAAATTGGATAAGTTTAGATTTAGGAAAGATTTGGGTAAATACTGGTTCGGTAACAGGGTTATTGATTTGTGGAACCAATTACCACGAAACGTAGTGGAGGTGGGGTCCCTCGATTGTTTCAAGCGTGAGTTGGATATGTATATGAGTGGGATTGGGTGGTTATAAATAGGAGCTGCCTCGTTTGGGCCAATAAGCCTTCTGCAGTTACCTTTGTTATGTTCTTATATGTAGTAATGTTATGTTCTTATATGTACAGATTCTAACTAATGTACACATTAGTTAGAATCTGTTATGTCAATGTGTGTGTGCCCGTACGTGAACTAGGCTATTTTTGTGGTCAAGAAATTGAATAATTATCCTTAAAGTTTATTATCATTATTACTAACGCCGGTATCAAACATATAGGACAATTATTTAGTTTATTTCCTTTCCAATTTTAATATTGGCTTAAGTGAGTTGCTTAGTTGCCGTGCGCTAAGGACTAGACTAAGGACCTCGTTCTGTTTTTAATAACGTGTTAAATATATATATTATCTGAAGCTTCTGGCGGATGGTTAGAGTTTGTCTGGTCAGGGTGTGTTTATGCTGGTTTGTATAGTTTTGTTGTGTGTGTGTGTGTGTGTCGTTTTGTGGTCTGATGTGTGTATCGTTTTGAGGCTTTTTTAATTAATTTTTTTTATCATTGTCGCCCATGCAGCTGGAACTGAAGGCCTTGTTCATCATTGAACATTTGCTCATTGTCGTGTTTCAGACGTCAATGTCAAATAGAAGGCCCATCTTTTCAGTAAACTTTTTGGAAGAATTTGTTTAAAGAAATCTTTGAGGATGGATTTAACGTTAGGAGTAATTTATTTTTCATATTATTGTTGCAAATTTATTTCATATTTCTCTGTAGCCTAGTCTGCATAATATTCTGAAGGTTATGTGGATTTACAACCATTTATTGAAGTCCGTTCTCAGGGTAAAGTGATTTCAGTCACCAAATCAAATTATCTAGATATTTGTTATGGTCTGAAAGCATTATTAAAGTTCCAATAATTGTATTCTGTGCTTGCAAACTGGCAAGTAAACCTTTGTCTTAAACAGAGAATATTTTCAAGTTATAACTATATTGTATTGTACATCAATGATTTAATAACTATTGTATTATAAATCAGTGATTTAAAATATAACAAGTTTATGGTAAACTCGTTTTCTTTCATAGTTTTTACTCTTTACTTTCTTCAGGAGTAAAGAATTTAGAGAATCTTCTGGAGTATGTTTGTTTATATATATCTTAATTTAAATTAACAATGGAATTGGCCCAAGATTTTTCACCGATTGCCATTGTGACGGTAAAGCGTTGGTGTTCGGCTGTTTCAAAAGCTAGGGGCAGGGCCTCGTCACATAAAGGAAAAAAAAGAGAAAAGCTGGAACTTTCGTCTGTGGTAAGGTAATGGGAAGACACAAAACACAAGTAAATTTAACAATGAAATTTTAATTATGTTAGAAAAGCAAGACATGAATAAAATTGAGTATAAAAATGTAACAGACAAGTCAACAAACAAAATAATAAGAATCACTGGCAAATGAAAAGTTACGTTAAGACAAGTGAGTAATAGCAAAGTAAATGGAGCTGGAATATTGGCTTCGAGCTGCCACCTCCCTTAGTACACGTAAGCCAAGGCTTAGTCTACCAATGAGATGTGTCAACTGCAAGGAGCACTAGGATATTCTGCCTTCTCTGGGTCGCTGTAGCCCAGACATCAACTCGTGGCGGAGGGTGGTGGGGCAGGTGCGACTGGACACCAGCCAATCAGCGACAGGCAGGCGATGGACAAGCAGTTTGCCGGTTAACGGTGGCGGGGGCGAGCAGGTGTGCTGGATACGTTTTGCTCTCTGGGCAAAACGTTTTGGAGATACTTGTTGGATATATCTTCTATATTATTTGTTGATGTGACGTACTTTGGAGGGAAGAGCAGGCTCAATCTCTCTTGAAAGAGATTATCGTCACACCATATACATGAAATGTGTTCCATTTCGAGAATTAGGCACGTTTTGTGTCGACTGTGACTCTGCACATGTGACTGATTTCTCTGCACTCTGGCGCTTTGCTTGCATGCACACACACACATGTTGCATGATTATATTATCTCCGTTGCTTTAAGGGAGAGGAACAAAAGCAAATATAAAGTGTGTACAATGATGACAAAGCGATGCCAGTATGCGGATGTGGGGGGGGGGTATAGCTTTAGGAATTGCAAGGGGGGGGGGGCATGGAGGGGTCAGCTTATTGGAGAGGAGATAGGAAGGTGGAGGTGAATGGACCCGTGCCACCCCCCCCCCCCCTCACTCACTCCCTCCTCCCGCCGTCCCTACCCCCCCCCCCTCATTGCCCCATCACTTCCCCCCTCCCCCTCATTACCCCTTCATTCCCCCCTTAATTTTTTTGTAATTTTTAGTTTACAAATGTCAAACTTTGGGAACCATCACAGTTGATTTATACTCTTAACTGAAGAAGAATCGTGTAATTCTGGTTTAAATAGGAATCGGCTTATCTTTATTTTTTTTCCCACATGCCCACTTGGACTGCCATCCCCAACGATCACAGTGTATTGGTACGACAGTAACAGCTTTCAAGGCACTTGACAATGTACAAACAAAACTCTGAGAAAACACAACTTCTACGCACCGCTAGACCATCACATAGATATCCAGGGGCCAGATTCACGAAGCGGTTACGCAAGTACTTACGAACGTATACGTCTTTACTTAATCTTTGACGGCTTTGGTTACATTAATTTATCAGTTTACAAGCATGAAAACTTCCCAATAAACTGTTATTGTTTTAAACAGCCTCCTGGTGCTTTGGAGCTCATTAACTGTTTAATAATTGTAAACAAAGCCGCCAAAGATTGAGAAAAGATGTACAGATTCGTAAGTGCTTGCGTAACTGCTTCGTGAATCTGGCTCCTGACCAACAACACCGAAGTAATTGAGAGATACCACGTGTACGGAGGATTAGGTATAGGTACATATTTCACTACATATTTCTTACAACTACACATTTCCAACTATCAACAGACAGTCTACACTTAAATACATGTTATAATCTTTAAGACCAAGGTCGGGTATCGAGCCACGCCTCGCCTACTGCCCCAGCCAACATCGACTGGATAACACCAAACTTCACTTTATCCTTCTGGATTATATACACTAGTCCGACGACAAGTTACAGCCCCGCTTCTGTGCCAGGTAAGTCCACAACGGGCTCACCATAGCCCGTGCTAATTAGAATTTTTTGGTTCCAAGTAGCGAATCTTAAAGAAATACACTAGTCTGTCATTGGTGTTGGGAGCGCTTGTTCTAATGGTGTCCACCGGGGTGGATGGGATCCACTACTCTATACTTCCATCTGAGAGGATCCAGTTGGGGGCGCTGCAAATGCCAGGCATTATTCTGTTATTTATTGTGTCTGTGAAGGAAATGTAGGGCCCAGAGGTCACCCATGTCACGCTCTGGCTTGTGTATGTATAGGCTACACATGCATAAATATACATACACATGTATATACACTTGTATACGCATCCGTGTTGGTACACAGCCTGAGAAGAAAGGTTGCGTAGGTATGAAGGTCAGCTGGTGGTCACGAGGCTGGCTGAGTGTAGGCTGGTGGTGGCATACTTTCACTCTTCTCACTCTCACATCTATACTACATCCCCCCCTTACCCTTCCCCCTCACCTCCCCATACCCTCCCTTTACCCTCCCCCCTCACCTCCCTTTACCCCCTCCCCCATCACCTCCCTTTACCCCCTCCCCCATCTCCCCTTGACCCCCTCTTCCCCCCCATCCCTCACCCCTCGTATATAGTTGTAATGACTTGGGGCAATTACCTTAATCCCCCCTCCCCCTCACTTCCTATCTTCCCTCACTCCTCCCCTCACTTCCTATCTTCCCTCACTCCCCCTCCCCCTTTCCTATCGTCCCCCACCCCCCTCCCTTCCTATCTCCCCCTCACCCCCTCCCTATCTACCCTCTTCTACCTGCAACAACTAATTAAGGAATACAAACGGCTTCTCCTCTAGTACTCTCCAGAGCCCCAGATAATTACCCTCAGCGCCCCCCTCCCCCCTCACCCTTAATGGTCGCGCAGCGAGCCACCTTCCCTCTCCGAAACCTCTCCATCATCTCTCTCTCTCTTTATTTCTCTTCTCTCTTATTTTCCTATTTTGCCATTTTACTGAGATCATTTTCTTCCCTTCTCCCTCGTGTTCAGGGGAACTGCCTCCTGTAACGACCGGAGACAACGACCTGGAAGTGGATGCAACACTAAGCCTAACTGGTGAGCACATATGAATACATGAACAGTTTTCATAAGACGGGAACAAGAAGCCGGATGCCTATCTTGTGTAGGATTATCCTGAGTGGCCGGATACCATCAGCTGCGTACTCTACGCTGGAGAGAAAGTCAGCACATTATCCAGCAACCTAAATAAGGAGACATTTAATACGTCTGACCAGTGCTAGGGTACGCCGGTCCATCCTGGAACCCCTCCCCGCCCCCCTTGGTTCCATCTCAGGAAGGTCTTGAGTGCAGTCACGGATGATAAGTCGCTTTTAATTAACGTGTCAACTTTTGATAGGTAAATTTATTTGATAGGGAGGAGTATGACACAGTTCTGAGGCGTGAACTTCCACATATCCGGGTACCTATTTTGAATACACAATCGGTTGAAATTGGCAAACGGATATGTGGATTGGGTTGTGGTTTGAAGGAGCACGTGGTGAGTGTGTTGTGTTCACTACACGGGGGGGGGGGGTGTTGTGAGGCGCCCCTCCACCACCCTCATTGGTGAGGCTCATCTCATCACGACTCACTCCAGGACTCCAAGATACTGTAGTATTTATGGAGGACTCTCGCGAATTTTGATGTATCCCCCCCCCCCCACCCCACCCACCTCTTCCCTCACTGTGAGGAGTGAGGGCGTGAGACAGGGGCGCTGTGAGGAGTGAGAGAGGAAGACGGGGGCACTGTGAGGAGTGAGAGAGGAAGACGGGGGCACTGTGAGGAGTGAGAGAGGAAGACTGTGAGGAGTGAGGGAGGGAGACGGGGGCACTGTGAGGAGTGAGAGACAGGGACTCTCCGTCAGTGTAAAGGAAGCCAGGACTCATGGTTATCCCACTCTGGTTACGACACTCCGTCAGTGTTGGGTCGGGGAGGCAGGAAGACCGCTCACCAGTTGTTCCTGGACTCACTCTGCAAAAACTAGCATGCTTGTATTTTTTTGGTATACTCTCTGACCTTCATAATCACTTGTGCGGAGTGTTGCCGGAGACTATGCCGCTCCCGCCAGTACACTTCCGCTCAGGCACAATACTAAGGTGGAAACAATATAGTTTAGTTACCGTTGAAAGCGGGAAAAAAGGGTCGTGTCCTTTGTGTTCCAGAAACATTTTGTATCATTTCGGATTTAAATATGAGTGGCCGTGCTGGGCGTGGAAGACACCTGCCGCCCGGGAGGAATGATAAGAGAAGTTGACGCTATCTTGTGCCTCAAGGTGACTTATTGACAGTTCTTGTTTGTTGCAGGTGAACCCGGGATGGAGGAGTACCGCGAGGCGGCCCAACACGTCGTCTCTGCGGCAAGTGGCCGCGGCAACTAGCCAGTGTGGCCGCCCTCCGCCACACTATATACTACTTGGACGTCCAAGGATGTCAAGTGCCCCCAGCGCCACCTGGCGGTGATCCTGGTGGAGCCAAGCCCGTGAGGTCTGGCAGTGTGTGAGTGACTCGGAGAGCAACAGGACAAGTGCAAGTGTGTCGACCAGAGGACATGACCGCCATGGCCACCTACCTCCCACTAATCTGTCTCCTAGCAACGTTCTCCCCTCGCCCAGGTACGCCCACGTCCTCCCCTCGTCCAGGTACGCCCACGCCCTCCCCTCGTCCAGGTACGCCCACGCCCTCCCCTCGTCCAGGTACGCCCACGCCCTCCCCTCGTCCAGGTACGCCCACGCCCTCCCCTGCAGATGCCCTCAGCGTCCAGGTAAGCGCATGAGCGCATGTAATGTTGTGGCTACAGACACAACCCAGCGGTGTTGTGACTAAGAGTATTAATGCACTCTCACGTTCTCACTCCAGTAGTGTAAACAGCTGGGTGGGCGCTCGTCAACACCAGCATATTTACATAGATGTTCGTTCCCAAGACCAGTAAGATTTGTGTCCGGTTCCATAGAGCTGCGGAACATTGAATGTTACTGGTGGTGGGGAACAGTGCGCCAGGGGCCCTTCAGCAGTCTTGGGATGGTCTCACGTACGTGCACATGGTAGCAGGCCCCCTGCACGACCCTGGGTAATGGCTCTCTTGAACCTCCCGCTCACCAGAACCATGGATTATTTACAATCTTTTTAAGTATGAACATTTACTTCAAAAATGATGAGTCGTTAGACATGATGAAGCAGGAAATGTGCTGGATTTTAAAAGATGTAATGATCCGAGTATAATTTTGATCATTACATTAACTATGTAATTTTTATGTTATTTTAACATAACAATACGTGACAGATCATTCGTGATAGCTACCATCTGCACAAGTTACTCCTGGCCCAAGTTTACCTCTCAGCTACACTTGGGAGTGTAAACTCACTCTACACTGTACAGTAGAGTGTACAGTGTACTTATTACACACTGTAAAAGAGTGTGTAGTGAGATTTTCGAAGGTGCTCACTGTAGAGCCACAGCTGATTACAATTATTTGTTATCGTCTTACATTACGCTATATACGAGTGATAATAGAATGGTATAGATGGGTGTGGCTGGTGTAGAGCCTGCTCTAGGGGGGGTGTGTGGCTGGTGTAGAGCCTGCTCTAGGGAGGGTGTGTGGCTGGTGTAGAGCCTGCTCTAGGGGGGTGTGGCTGGTGTAGAGCCTGCTCTAGGGGGTGTGTGGCTGGTGTAGAGCCTGCTCTAGGGGGTGTGTGGCTGGTGTAGAGCCTGCTCTAGGGGTGTGTGGCTGGTGTGGAGCCAGCTCTAGGGGGGGTGTGTGGCTGGTGTAGAGCCTGCTCTAGGGGGGGTGTGGCTGGTGTAGAGCCTGCTCTAGGGGGGGTGTGGCTGGTGTAGAGCCTGCTCTAGGGGGGGGGGGTGTGGCTGGTGTAGAGCCTGCTCTAGGGGGGGTGTGTGGCTGGTGTAGAGCCTGCTCTAGGGGTGTGTGGCTGGTGTAGAGCCTGCTCTAGGGGGGGTGTGTGGCTGGTGTAGAGCCTGCTCTAGGGGGGGTGTGGCTGGTGTAGAGCCTGCTCTAGGGGGGGTGTGGCTGGTGTAGAGCCTGCTCTAGGGGGGTGTGGCTGGTGTAGAGCCTGCTCTAGGGGGGGTGTGTGGCTGGTGTAGAGCCTGCTCTAGGGGGGGTGTGGCTGGTGTAGAGCCTGCTCTAGGGGGGGGTGTGGCTGGTGTAGAGCCTGCTCTAGGGGGGGTGTGGCTGGTGTAGAGCCTGCTCTAGGGGGGGTGTGTGGCTGGTGTAGAGCCTGCTCTAGGGGGGGGGGTGTGGCTGGTGTAGAGCCTGCTCTAGGGGGGGTGTGTGGCTGGTGTAGAGCCTGCTCTAGGGGTGTGTGGCTGGTGTAGAGCCTGCTCTAGGGGGGGGTGTGGCTGGTGTAGAGCCAGCTCTAGGGGTGTGTGGCTGGTGTAGAGCCAGCTCTAGGGGTGTGTGGCTGGTGTAGAGCCAGCTCTAGGGGTGTGTGGCTGGTGTAGAGCCAGCTCTAGGGGGTGTGTGGCTGGTGTAGAGCCAGCTCTAGGGGTGTGTGGCTGGTGTAGAGCCAGTTCTAGGTGGTGTGGCTGGTGTAGAGCCAGCTCTAGGTGGTGTGGCTGGTGTAGAGCCAGCTCTAGGTGGTGTGGCTGGTGTAGAGCCAGCTCTAGGGGTGTGTGGCTGGTGTAGAGCCAGCTCTAGGGGTGTGTGGCTGGTGTAGAGCCAGCTCTAGGGGTGTGTGGCTGGTGTAGAGCCAGTTCTAGGTGGTGTGGCTGGTGTAGAGCCAGCTCTAGGTGGTGTGGCTGGTGTAGAGCCAGCTCTAGGGGTGTGTGGCTGGTGTAGAGCCAGCTCTAGGGGGTGTGTGGCTGGTGTAGAGCCAGCTCTAGGGGTGTGTGGCTGGTGTAGAGCCAGCTCTAGGTGGTGTGGCTGGTGTAGAGCCAGCTCTAGGTGGTGTGGCTGGTGTAGAGCCAGCTCTAGGTGGTGTGGCTGGTGTAGAGCCAGCTCTAGGTGGTGTGGCTGGTGTAGAGCCAGCTCTAGGTGGTGTGGCTGGTTTAGAGCCAGCTCTAGGTGGTGTGGCTGGTGTAGAGCCAGCTCTAGGTGGTGTGGCTGGTTTAGAGCCAGCTCTAAGGGTGTGTGGCTGGTTTAGAGGCTCTAGGGGTGTGTGGCTGGTGTAGAGCCAGCTCTAGGGGTGTGTGGCTGGTGTAGAGCCAGCTCTAGGGGTGTGTGGCTGGTGTAGAGCCAGCTCTAGGGGTGTGTGGCTGGTGTAGAGCCAGCTCTAGGTGGTGTGGCTGGTGGTGTGGCTGGTGTGTGTGGCTGGTGTAGAGCCAGCTCTAGGTGGTGTGGCTGGTTTAGAGCCAGCTCTAGGGGTGTGTGGCTGGTTTAGAGCCAGCTCTAGGGGTGTGTGGCTGGTGTAGAGCCAGCTCTAGGTGGTGTGGCTGGTTTAGAGCCAGCTCTAGGGGTGTGTGGCTGGTTTAGAGCCAGCTCTAGGGGTGTGTGGCTGTGTAGAGCCAGCTCTAGGTGGTGTGGTGTTTAGAGCCAGCTCTAGGGGTGTGTGTGGCTGGCTGGTAGAGCCAGCTCTAGTGGGTGTGTGGCTGGTGTAGAGCCAGCTCTAGGGGTGTGTGGCTGTTGTAGAGCCAGCTCTAGACGGTGTGGCGGGCTTGGTGTAACTGGACTGCTGCCAGAGCTGGCGGCGCTCTCAACAAATATCAAGGGTGTAGACACCTCTTGGGCAGTGTTGTGTTGTGCTCGCTGGTGGTACACCCTGATACACACTCACACCGTGTGTGGCAGTGTGACGGTGGGACTTACACTATATACCTCACTCTTCCATCTGTTGTTTTAGATTGAACTGCTCAGAACGAAGTGTCCATGTAGCACGGGCTATGGTGAGCCCGTCCTCTCTCTCTTCCATCTCTCCTCCTCTTACATCGAAGATTGTTGCCTGTCCCATCTATAAGACCCTTTACATCTCCCTTGCCCTTCTGACTCCTGTTAACAGGCTCAGAGCTTGTACTTCCCTTAACTCATGTTAAGCCTTGCCCCTCTAGTGGTTCACTTTATTCTCCTAGTTTACTGACACTAAAGTGACGTATTTACTGACGTATTTGTGAGTGCACGATCGGGCTTCAGCTATTGGGTCCCCACCTTTCCAGTTATTGGTCATTTAATGCAATATCTCCTGATTTAAATTTCTCGTGTGATTCCAGTAATAAAATTTTTCAACTTTTCAGTCTTTTAAATTCTTCTATATATTTTGTCTACCATGTTTCACGCTTTGTTCACTTTTCTAGCGACGTTATGACAATTGCTTTCAACAATTTTTCGTACCACTTTCCAGGTAATTCTGGGACGAGTCTTCGTTGTAAACCTATGTGCCTCTTTACGACGGGCTGCATATTAGAGAGTTGGTCGCACGTAGGTGGTGTAGTGTGTTCTCATTGCCTACTTAATGAGCTTCCTGAACGTTGCTAGGACGTTCACCAATTTAGAGAATGATGTAATTGAGCCGAGACTCGTATGAGCAGGATAAGACTTGGCGCTATAGCTACTCCTTGGTCTTTTTCTTGTGCCACCATTTGCATCACCTTGCACTTGCTGGTATTGAATTTGAGTAGCCATTTCTCCGCCCAACTCCGCAGTTTAGTTCATCCTTGATTATTATACAGTGTTCCTGTGACTCGACCCATCTCGTTAGTTTAGCATAATATGCCAACACTGACATGTGGCGCTCTCTGCCACGGAGTTAGAGATCCTTGACGTAGAGGAGGGCTGGTGTGGCTCCTGAAGCTCTCTTGCTTGTTATCCTACGTCACACATCTCTACTCTTCTCTTCCCTAACTGTGGTTCAAGCTGCTGCTTATTTGGCACTCTATACTGTGTTTCAGTACTGTTCTGGTTACTCCTGCCTGTGTCTCCAGGTTTTCCTCTGCAGCTCCTGCCTGTGTCTCCAGGTTTTCCTCTGCAGCTCCTGCCTGTGTGTCTCCAGGTTTTCCTCTGCAGCTCCTGCCTGTGTCTCCAGGTTTTCCTCTGCAGCTCCTGCCTGTGTCTCCAGGTTTTCCTCTGCAGCTCCTGCCTGTGTCTCCAGGTTTTCCTCTGCAGCTCCTGCCTGTGTGTCTCCAGGTTTTCCTCTGCAGCTCCTGCCTGTGTCTCCAGGTCTTCCTCTGCAGCTCCTGCCTGTGACTCTCCAGGTCTTCCTCTGCAGCTCCTGCCTGTGACTCTCCAGGTCTTCCTCTGCAGCTCCTGCCTCGTACATCTCACTACCTCCTCGGGGGGGGGGGGGCTTACAGCATCCATTACTGTTGACTTGATGATCTCTCATCCCCTTCTCATCCTTTAGCTACTTCATCATTTATCAGTCACCTTCTCTACGTTTATCATTCTCTCTAACGTTGCCCTGCTTTCCTCTTCTGCTGCCTTTCCATACTCTTCCACTCTTTTATGATATTCTGAAGCCCCAGTAAAGTTGACATAACGGGAGTGATAACCCATTATCAAACAAAAATAAACAAATCGCCCAACAAATCGCCAAACAAATCGCCCAACAGACAACATACAAATCGCAGGTGTTTGTTTACAAATCAAGCTGAATATCTGGACAGAATTAAGATACTGTTCCGACGTTCAATATAATTGTCAGGTAAATAGTCTCTCTCTTGTATAGCAAG